TGCTTCAAAGAGAGCCGTCCTCAGAAATGTTCTGGTTAGTGACATCAATGGATAACAGTTGCCATTTCTGACCTTCCTTCCAACTAAGATGATGTGAAATGATTTGCTCACAGACTGTGCTACATCCTGCTACCAGTAGGTAAATTTCATACCTTTACAACAACTGTTCAGTCAAGAATGTGTTTTGAACTATTTGAATTTTAAGGGGAAGCCAGGAGCAGAGGGAACAGAAATCCCTTCTAATTAAAGGCAAGTTCATTAACACTTTCATACATATGGATTAGCCATTTAAAGCAAGGTTAAGTGAGCAGCCTTGTGAAAAGATTTTTAATGTCAGGAATCTCATAAAAATTCCGTATGCTGCACCAGCCAGTGCCCTCGACTCATTACCAGTGTCCTTTGATCCCTTGGATTAATCTCTCAGGTCACTGGCCTAAACAAGGTGAATATCATAGGTCCTCCATAAATGCCCCCCCAGAACTAGATTCTAAACATAATGGAGAGGAAGAATAGTCATGGAAGAAGTTCAGAACACCATCAGGATGTAGCATTTCTACACTTAGGTATCTCAAGTCTTAACTATAGAGAGGGCAAGCAAAGCAAGGCTGAAGCTATAATTGGTGAAGATGCAGCTGGCCTTTGATTTATTTATAAGAGCAGGAGATGTTTAGTATTTTATTTTTATCTGTACTTAGACAAAATTATGAAATGGCCTTGTTTGTCTCACTTGGTTATGGCCTACGAGTGACCATGCCTGATGCCAATGTTGTATGTGAACAGGAGACACAATGCCAGGCTGTGAGCACAGAACCAACAATTCCAAGGCCTGCCTGTGAATGTCCAACAAGCTCCCAGATATGAGGGGCTTCACCTTTAACAATGTGGAGATTTAAACTTTTTCTTAGGGAAAGTACAGATTATGAAGAGTTATGACAGCTGTGGTTAGGTAGACAGGCTTCTACTTGGGATCCCGATAGTGGGCTGCTATGGTTTGGAACATAACAAAGGAAAGGCCTGGTTCTAAGATTAGGATGTGGGGAAAGGAGACAATATATTCCATATGAGCTACACCTCTCAAGAAGAACGCGACATGCAGATCAGGCCCCTCCTAGAGCATGTTAAATGCAAGAACTGGCTCCATTTTAGTAAACCTGGCAAAGTTTTACCGGTTAATAAAAGGTGTCAGTTGTCCACAGATTTATCCAAGAATCTAAATGATATTGGTATTCATTAGTGAGATAGATGTCTTCAGATCTTTGCAGTTGTATTTTTTTCTTTATAGCTATTGAATGGCTATTAAAATCCTGACCATTGAAGTCTTACCTTAGATTCTGTTTCCAGCAGACATTAATCACAGTGCTGATAGCATCAAGTCTACATTAAACAGAAGGCAGAAATGCCAGCTGTGCCTTTAGCCCTCACATCCCAGTAATGCAGCCCACATGTAGAGCATATGAAAAAAAAAGAAAGAAAACAGTACGTGAAATCGTGCAGTTTCCTTTTTAAAAATTTTCATTTGGAAAAAAAGTCTAACCTTCCTTTCTTGTAGTCTGGAAGACCAATAGTGGAGAAGAATACGCATGGATACACAATGGACAACTTGTCCCAAGTCTAGTCTGTAACAATTCCTGAACATCTAAGATTATTCATGAAAATAAAAACTACTACCGTGTTTCCCCGAAATTACGACATCCTCTGAAAATAAGACCTAGCGCAAGGAAAGATAAGACATCCCCTGAAAATAAGACCCAGCGCAACTTTGGGAGAAAAAATTAATATAAGACACTGTCTTATTTTCGGGGAAACAGGATACTTATATTTCCATGTAAAAATTCTCTAATGAGTATATTTTAAATTCCTTCAACAGTAACGTAAGGCACATTCTAAGTGTCAGGGTTAATTTAATTCAACGAATAAGGTTAGAATAATAATTCAAGTGTATTAGGCAGGGCCAAGGACCAGTGAACCCAGGCAAACCATCTCCCTCTTCACCAGGGATTCCTTCTGGTATTGGTCAGCACCCAAATGGCATCTCCAAATGCCACCATTATACCAAGAACCCATGAAACACATGGCTGTCATCTACACAGGGGATTTCATGCTGGCGGTGACTCTCTACACAGCAGCACTGCCTCCCATAATGTTTGCAGGGCTCCACGTTCTCACTATTTCCAGCCTTTGAGAGATTTAAATTTGCTATATTTTTAGAGTACATGTGGCCTGTCACTTAGCAGCATCACTGAAAGATAACATCTCGGTGATTACACAGGGCTGACGTTTTATTATTTGATATTAAAATCGCATCCGAAATCCCCAGCCTAATAAGCTCAAAATGAGGTTTAAAAATAAAGCACCTGGCAGATCTGATTGCAGTCACTCAAATGACATTTTGTTAGCTGGCAACTCATTATCAAGCTGGCACCGTTTCAACCCGCTGCCTTTCTAGGAATGGGATCCGTGTGCTCTCTATGAAGGTGATCAGGCTGGCCACGCTTCAGCTAGACACCCCATTTCACCTATTCTCACAAGGGTCTTCTGTTATGCAAACTAGTAGGAAGCAATTACATGCTCCAAAAGATTAAGACTAGAAATTTCACGTTCAGAGTATTGTCATTTCGCCTCCTAAAATGTAAATTCTTATTAGATATTAAAATATCTTTTTTCACATAATGTCACCTAATGATTGGAGGAAGCAACGCCTCAGAAAGGAATTCTGTCTCCCAAGCTCAATGAGAGTCCGGAAGGTATCAAGAGATGAAATACATGCTTTTCAAGGCCACTTGGAGGCTGGATACTGGCTAGTACCAAGCTAAATGCTCTGAATGGACATGAATGAAGTTTGAGCAAAGAGCAGCAGGACAGAAAAGAGGAACTTAAACAAGAGATACCCCCTCCCACCTCATAGCTTGAGGAGAAATTTCCATGGATGGAAATAAAGGGGAACAGCTCATACTACTCCATGCCAGAAAATGTGCCCCATGCTCTCACACAACAGAAGAACATGGTCACAACCTGTGCCAGATCTAATCTGGGACCCAACTGTAATTGAATTGACTTGCATTTAAGATGTTATTTATGAAAATGAAAACTGAAGCCCCAAGATGTCCTGGTAATTTCTTATGGTGACAGTCAATAAGTGGGGATCTCAGAGGGAGGTCCTCTACCTACCTGGGCCACTTCTCCTAGGATGGAGAGAAAAACCCTAGCAGAATAGTTTCCATTTAGGACCATGTCAGCCTCCTCACCCAAGCTGAAACCTGTCTTTATATATTATTGTTAAACAACATCTTAATAATATTGAACATATTAAGTAACATTTTATATTTAAACTAGAGGACCAGTGCACAAAAGTTGTGCATTGGTAGGGTCCCTAGAAGCTGGGAGCTACTGGCCAGGGCCTCCCTCCCTTCTCCCAGCTAGCCCCATTCCCTGGTTGAACTCTCAGATGACCTCCCAGGCAAGGGGACAATTTGCATACTATGCTTTTATTATATAGGATAACTATATTTAAATGTTTAAAAACAAGCCAACTAAAATACAAGGGAAATTTTCCCATAGTTAAGAAAGGAAGTCAGAGGAGAAGGGAAGGAGAAAACGAAACCGCCTTTTGGTCTTGTCGAGAGGGTGCAGGCAAGGCTGAGGGACCCCCTCCAGTGCACGAATGTTGTGCCCCAGGCCTCTAGTTGTTATATAAAAGTTACTAATAAAACACACTTCCTGCAGAGTGGCATGGTTCAGTGGTTGAGTATCGACCTATGAACCAGGGAGGTCATAGTTTAATTCCTAGTCAGGGCACATGCCCAGGTTGCCGGCTTGATCCAAGTGGGGGGTTGTGTAGGAGGCAATTGATCAATGATTCTCTCTCATCATTGATGTTTCTATCTCTCTTTCCTTCTCCCCTTCTCTGAAATCAATAAAAATATATTTAAATAAATAAGTTAATTATTTAAAACACACACACACACACACACACACACACACACACACACACTTCCTCTTACCCCCAGGGGGGAAGACACATACAAAGATAAGAAATATGATGTTTTAAAGACAAGACAAGTGATACTGGGTGATAGCTGGAACTCAAGGGAAGGAAAGCTGATTCAGCCCCAGCAGAAGTTTGCAGGTGACATGGGAGACAGAGGAGAAGGCATCCATGGGAGAGTACTTCATGAGCAGGACCAGGAGTCAAGCAAAACCAGGAATTGGCCACCCATGCTAGCGGGTCAGGAACGCTCATGGGAAATCATGCTGGCAGTATTTTAAAGAGTGAGCTAGTACAAGGATTGAGACCTGGCAGAAAGGAAGCAGAGGAAAGAAAATGAGCAGGCACTGTTTTCAGACCACACCAGGAGGCGGTGCAGACAAAGACTGACTAGTAACGACTATGACTCTGATTATCAACCCCCTCCACACACACACAAAAAAAAGCAGGACAATGCAGAACTGATTTGGAAAATAAGTGATAGAACTTTTGAACATTCACACAGGCAGCTGCAGTTGCTATAACATAATGTGCACAGAGTACGAATTTTCCTGGAGGATAAAATTCTGAACAGAGAGCATTCGGTTTTTTTATGTGCATTAAAACAGAAAAACATATCCCATTAACCTAAGAACCCAGTATTAAAAGATATGCAATATAGCCAAAGCTGTAGAATGACCTTTAATAAAGTGTTTAAAAAGATAATTAAGCTGCTATAAGATCAGGCCTGTTTTTAATTTTCTGTATTTCGCTTACTTGTGTGTGTTTTTTTTTTGTTGTTGTTGTTTTTTATTGTTCTACCATTGTGAACTGCTCATAGAAAGGGGAAAGAGTGTTTTTTAAACCCTGCCAAGAGTAAGTCTATGAAAAAAAAAAAAAGTGTATCATAAATGAGTGGAGGTCAATTACATGGACAAGTCAGCATATTCAGCAGACCAGCATTTGCTCAGTGCAAACGAGAGTCAGAAGTCTGAGATTGGGGCGTGAAGGACCTGCGGTGACGGCTGGTACCCACCTGGATCACAGAGGCACTTGTAGCTGGTGCCCACGCTGCGGCAGGTGCCGTGAGCGCAGGGGCTGAGCGCGCAGAAGTCCACCAGCTGGGCACAGGCGGGGCCCGTGAAGCCGGCGCTGCAGCTGCAGCCAAAGCGCACCCCGTCGGCGTAGCAGGTCCCGTTGTTCTGACAAGGCGATGAGGCACACGGGTCCACCTTCTCTTCGCAGGCCGAGCCGAAGTACCCTGCCAGGACACCCAGACCCAGAGGATGAGTTAAACATTTTCAAACTGTATTTACACATAACAACTGGTAAACTTGTGAATTGATTGGCCAATTAGTCCATTAATAGTCTGCAGGTATAAACAAAGGCAGGTATGGCAGGTTTTTTTTTTTTTAGTGTGGGTAATTGGGGTTAAAATATTAAGTCCTGTGCTTCCAGTTTTGCAATATAAAATACGATTGCTCAGATGTATAGACCTGCAGGGACATGAACACATTTACATATGCATACATATGTGTGTGTCTACATATTACTATGCAGGGATGGGGAACCTTTTTCCTATCAATGACCATTTGGATATTTATAACATTATCCGATTAATATCATTTACTTACTATAAATGTATGTTGAGGACACATATGTAACACCTTAAACAATAAAGAATTTTTTTAAAATGTATATTGCTATAAAAACAAGCTCCTAGATTTATTGAATTTCAAGTCCTGCCTGTGGTTGCCTTGGCAGAACCAGACCAAATGATTCTGCAAGACTTATGTGGCCAGTGGGCCAGACATTCCCCACCCTTGACCAGAGAGATGTCAAAAATATATTAACAGTGGATACCTTCAGGAAAGTGGGACTGGGGTCAGTGCAGGGCTTTCACCTCTTATTTTATACTCATTACTGGGGAAAGATATTCCTCACTTTGCTTTAACAGGTAAAGATATAATCCTGAATTTTAAAAAGTAAACCTATGTAAAATAACACACAATAAAAAACTTTTCTCCCATCTTTACTCCTTTGTCCCCTATTCCCTTCTCTAGAAGCAACTACTACTTTTGGCAGTTCTTGAATATATATATATTAAGTTGGTTATTACACTAATTACACTGTGGTATATCTATACCCTAGGAAATTATTCAGCAATGGAAAGGAACTAAGTTATGATTCATGACACACCATAAATCAACTTCAAAAAATTATGATTGGTGAAAGAAGCCAGCTACACAACATATAATGCATAACTTCATTTATAAGAAATGCCCAGAAAAAGCAAATCTAAAGATATAGAAAGTAAATCAGTGGTTGCTTGGGACTGGGATGGGTTGACTTCAAATAGCCATGATGAGTCTGATATAAATGTTTTAATGTTAGATTGTGGTGATGGTTGTGCAGCTCCATATATTTATTAAAATGCATCAAACTGTACTCTTAAAATGCATGATATCTATGATATGTCAATTATACTTCAATAAATGTTCTAAAATGTATTCATTATAAATGTGTTTAATTATATAGGTGATTTTTATTTTATTTGTGTGTGTGTGTGTTTCAGTATTTCTCATTTTTAAAATGTTACATATTTATGTGTGTGAGTCTTTAGGCTTGTGGGTCCATGTAGGTGTTTAACAATGCTTTAGGTAAAATCTATTTTTCTTTTAATATTTTAAGAGAAGTTTGAAAATTAAATGAAGATTTGAATTTTAGAAACAAGAGTTAAAGAATTTTAGTCATATACAGTTTTTATTACAATATTCTATTTCATGGTTTTTATCTCCTTTAAATTTATATTTACCCATCTGCATGAAGAACTAAAAATTCTGGTAGTTTTTGTTGCTATTGTTAAGGACATGGAGAATATACAATAGTTGTTCCCAGACTTAATTATCTGAAGCATCATCCAAAAATTGGCATAATCAACATGATATTCTTCTTTCCAAAATAGAAAATTCAAAAATTATCTAATGCTATCCAACATTTTATAACATTTTGGGTAGTTTTTAATTTTAGAAATAATCCTAAGAATGTATTACACAATCAGTTTTAATAACACTTGAATTCTCCCAAGAGTCCCCTTACAGCCTAGAGTGGAATACAGTTCTATCCTTCATGAAATATTTTCCATTTCATTCTGACTGCAAAGGAGACACTTAAACATGCCGTTATTACCATAGGACAAATTGAGCAACCAAAGCAAGTCCTGACCCTTCTAATCTACTACTGCCCTGCCCCAGAAACAAGGCTGAAATTACTTTCTCCATAAAGTTGTTGTGGATTCTAAAAAGATATACGTCAAAATTCTTAGAACAGCTCCTAGTCCAATGCTGAATGACTGAATAAAAATGGTAGTAAGAATCCAAACAGCTGACATCCTCTGGGGGCTCCAAATGGGTTCAACCACATTCATAAACACATTCAAACTGCAAAACACAAAGAGCAAATGGAATACTGATTTGTGGAATCTATAATAACAAAAGCGCAAAATGCAAATCAACTTAATGGCCACATAGCAGAACAACTGTCTGGACGACCAAGCTAGACACACATTGGCGCCAGGCCAGCCAAGGTGGGTGCGATATGATTGGTCGGGAGCCCTGCCATTGCCCCATGATCAACCAGCAGAGGGAGGCCCAGGCCGCCAGCCAGCAGGATGATTGGGGGGGGGGGAGGCTCTGAAATCAATCACCCCAAAGAAGAAGGCCTAGCCTACTGGGCCAACAGCACTACAGTGGGTGGGCGGCGCCTCCCTCTGCAGAGCAATCCATCGTGGTGCTCCCACTCTGCTTTAGGGGCAAGCTGGGCTGAGAGAACCCCCTCCAAGTGCACGAATCTTGTGCACCGGGCCCCTAGTATTGTAATATAAGTAAAAAATAACAATAGCAGTGTTTCTAAAATGACTAAAAGATTGATAAATTAGCCATACTGGAGAAATAATATGTAGTCCTAACTGGAAGCTAACATATTTGAATTAATAATCTCAATTGAAGGTAGAAAATTAAAAAAAAAACTATTTGATATGTTAACCAAAACATGCATTGAGAATAATGGAGATAGTGGTATTTCTTGTTTGGAATACTTTATTTCAAGTCATACAAACCTCATACGATGGACATCAGGAAATATTAAAATGAAAATACCAGAGCTCCAGAGAGAAACTCAAACATATGGGAGAAATACCAACAGTGAAGAGCTTTAAAAACAACTCACTGTAATAAGGGGAAGTTTAGAAAAGGATGAAGTATTAAAGGATTAAAATGGAGAATAAACAAAACAGAGCTACAAAGGAAATCTCTAAGGAATGCAGGGAAAATGAAAAAAAAACAACAACTATAATTTACTTAGTTGATGTTACTTCAAGTTTTATATTTGAACCAGTATTTATATATGCTGGCTGACCATTTATTCTGTAAATAAAAAAGAAATTAGCACCCTTGAGATATACACATTATGGAAATCACATATTTAAGACCCAAAGAAAGCACTTCTGGAAGACTTTAAATTATACAACAATAGAGTTACTCTATGGGGAAAGCTATCTAGATGCCAGAAGTTTCTGCAAGATTGGTAAGGGGGAATATGCAATAAAGTAATACTAGAATTTTTGCTAACCCTGTAAAGATCATCTATATAGAAGGAATGATATGTATGGGCACTTAAAATCGAACCCATAATTTCACTGTCTTGGCAAATGGTTCCAGTCAGACATTTAGAAACTATACCTGATTGTTTCTTGTCCCTTAATCCCCATAACTAACCAGTCAGTGGATAGTAACAGGGTCTATTTCCAAAACAGTTTGTGAATCCAGATGTTTTATATCATCTCACCGCCACTGTTCTAGTCAATTATCTTTCCCCTCATCTATTGTAAGTTTCCTCTGGTGAGCATTCCTGTACTATTTTACCCCTATAACCCATTTCCCAAATAGCAATGAAAATGATTTTCTTAGAATGTAAATACCATCATCACTTCTTCCTTCCATGGGCAACAAGTCCTACAGGCCTTGACTCAGCTGACCACTCTGAGCCCTCTCTTTCCAGGAGCTGGCCACGCTGCCTTCCCTTCAGTTCCCAGAAATAACAAGCCATCTCCCACCTGGAGCCTTGAAACATTCCAGTGCCTGAAAGTTCCTGCTCACACAGAGGGCTCCTTTTAATTCTCAGTTTCAGTGCTGGACAGACAGGCTTTCCCTGATCGCCCCATACCAGGTATATACCCTTTGCTTGTTCTGTATCACAGCACTCTGTTCGCCACCTTCACAGCACTATCCTGACTTTGTGAGATGTAGTTGTACATTGGTTTTACTAGAAAAATAGCCATTTCTCATCCCCAACAAGATCTGAGGCCTCCTAGAATAGGAATCACATGGGTTCCTCTCACCCTAGAAGCTCAGCACCTAGCCGAATGGCCACACAGTAAAAATTTGTTAAATAATTGAGCAGATAGAAAAATGGAAGAGTGACAGAGGACATTTTCTAATAGATTTATTCACAATAAAGAAAGTTGATTGAGAAGTATGGGTTAGGTTTGGGGAGTTACAATAAAGGAATATGAAAAGGGTAAATATTAGTCACTATCTGCTCTGATTAAAGATAATATAAACAATCAGTGAACCAAAACAGTTTGTGAATCCAGAAAATTTGGTGCCTTGATGAGTTAGTTGCAAAGGGGAACAAAAAGGAGGTCTGCAGAAACTTGACTCTCAAAGAATTTAGTTTTTAACAGTGAAGACAGAAGGACATATCTGCGATGACGCGAGAACATTGTGAGGCCACTTTTTTCTTTCTTCTGCAAACATGGAATGATTCCAGCATAAAGTGAGGTTGGAGGGACAGGCCCAGCTGTCAGCATGGGATCAGTGTGTGTGGCACAGGCTCTGAGAGCAGCAGTGATTGAAAAGAAGGAAGGATTGTTAGGGGTGCGCAGGCCAGGAAAACCTCATGGAGAGCTGGGGTTTGCACTGGGCCTCAAAAAAAGCCCTGGATTTGGTTGGGCAGACAAGGATGAGAAATGATATTGGGATCAGAGAAGAGGTTTTGGCTGATGTTTATGGAAAACGTAATTGGGACCACATTTGTTCTAGTTCTAAGAAAGCAGACAGCTATGCGTGATAAAGAGGAGAAGGGGAATATGCAGGAAAAGCAATTATAAAACCATCAGATGTAAAAGACCCAAGAAAATCACATTTAAAATGTGACTTTTAATTTTTAAGAAAATCCATGTGAGAGAGTAAAAATTATTTG